GCCAAATCATGTTACAAACAGAAGGAGCCCATCTTCGACCCCGCAGCATCCGCCTCATACGTCAACATCTCTTGTAGCTCCGCCACGTGTTCCGAACTGGTGTCAGGCACTGGAAACACTCCCGGCTGCTCCTCCTCCACCTGCATCTATGTCATTCAGTACGGAGACCAGTCATTCTCCGTCGGATTTTTTGGGAAGGAACGGCTGAGCTTAACGCCGACGGATATTTTTGACGGGTTTTTGTTCGGGTGCGGCCAGAACAATCAGGGACTCTTCGGGGGCGCCGCCGGTTTGCTCGGTCTCGGCCGGGATAAAATCTCCATCATCGAGCAATCCGCGTTGAAATACAGCCGGTTCTTCTCCTACTGCCTCCCCTCCACATCAAGTGGCACTGGATACCTCAGCTTCGGCAAAGGCGGCGGATCTTCCAGCGCCGTGAAATTCACCCCCCTCGCCGACGTCTCCCAAGGCGGGTCGTTTTACGGCCTCGACGTCGTCGGGATCAGCGTTGGCGGGAAAAAATTACCGATTCCCGGTACAATTTTTTCCTCCGCGGGGACGATTATAGATTCCGGGACAGTGATCACGCGCCTGCCGCCGACAGCATACACGGCACTGCGCGACGCGTTTCAGCAGGGGATGAAGAGCTACCCGTCAGCTCCGGCGCTTTCGCTTCTCGACACTTGTTACGACTTCAGTAAGGTCGATACGGTGAGGTTTCCGAAAATTTCGTTTGCGTTCGGCGGCGGAACGACGTTGGAATTGGACCCGACCGGGATATTCTACATGGCAAGTGCCGATCAAGTTTGCCTGGCGTTTGCCGCAAACGGTGACGACAGCGACATAGGGATATTTGGGAACGTTCAGCAGAAGAGGGTGCAGGTGGTTTATGATGTGGCTGGTGGAAAAATCGGATTTGCCCCTGCAGGATGCCCCTGAGGGCTTATGTGATTTGCTGCTTGATTAGGATGGTTAAGAAGTTTGATTAAGCCAGCAGCAGCAGCTTAGGGAAAATGTTGGATTAAACAGTTGACGACTAAAGATCGTCCTCAATTGGTATTAAAAAAATGTAATGGTAATACATGTAGACGAGTTGGAACAAACCATGTAGTGACGATTGGTATGTGCGTGTAAACGTAAAAATGAATTTCAAATGTGTAAAGTGTACAAAATAAAATAAAAGTACACTTTTGAATTGTTGCGATTTTATAATTCTTGCATATCCAGTCTACTCGATAATTCTTGTAAAACTTTACTTCATTTATATTTCTAAAAAATTGAATGCAAGTCGATGCGTTGGATTACAAGAGATTTATATTTTAATTGGCTAAGAATATTTACACTTACTGCCGTGTTCAATTCCTCTTTAAAAAAACTGTGTTGAATTAGCCAAGTTGGGAATGAAAAACACTATTAACTTGCTATTATGGATGAGTGGTGAGTGATGAGTGATGACCGAATTATTACGCGAGGGAATTTCAAAGATAACACTGTTACAGAAAAGTTGCAAAAGCAGGCATGGCAGGCATATCTTCTGCATATCCTTGCCAAAAGCACTTTGAAGGGGAAACAAACATGATGCTACAACGAAAAAGTTACACAAATTATTGTGGCGCACCGACACCTTCGAATTTCCATTTTAATTGCCGTACGTCCCTACCTCCCAATGAGCTTATAAGGATATATAGGAGTTTATGCTCAGATTCCAGGAGCTACTAGCTAGGCTTGTTATTAGATCATGGCAACTCCCATTTCTATCTCCCCCTCCTTCCTCAGGGTTTTCTTTGGTTGCTTCGTGTTTTTTATCTGCGTAATTCTCTGCTCGCCGGAGAAGGGCCTTGCTTCGACAGAAGGAGATACAAAAACTGACCTTCTTCCACATACTCACACAGTTGAAGTAAACTCTCTGCAACCAGCAACCACCTGCATCCTCTCCACCCAAGGTTGAACTCCATATATAACAGCATTATTAAAGCGCTTCCTTCTGCAGCTTAAGTTTTTGAACTTTAATTACCCCCCTATTATCTCTATGTGTGCGTGCGTTTTGTCTTTTCTCATCGAGTATATATGTATATTCAGTTCGAGCTAATTGCTTATATGAAACTCCATGGTTTAACCAGGTCAGTACATATGCATGGATAAATTATCGCATCGACCAGATGTTTTCTTAGAAATTTACATGTTTTAACTATACAGGTGGACTAATATATATAGATGGGTTAAGATCGGAGGACGTTTATTTTTTTACATGTATTTTATAAGATCCAGTCACTATCCGAAATGTCTATATTGTAATTCATCATTCTTAAATTATATATTAATTTATTTTAAATTATCACATAGTTATGATAAATGAGAAACTAAAGATGAATATTTTCAATTCAGGTCCTTACAATAACAAGGAATCGGTATTGGAAGTGGCACACAAGCATGGGCCATGCAAACAACACAGATCACAAAGTAACCCCACTGATCAGGATCGCACTCAAATCCTCAAGCAAGACGAAGCCCGAGTCAGCTCAATTCACTACCGTCTTAACTCACTCACACAACCTGACGCCGCCACCAATACCATCCCCGTCCAGTACGGTCTGGAACTTGGATCATCCAACTACATTGTAACAGTGGGCCTCGGCACACCGGCCAAAAACCTCTCCCTCCTTAGGCAGCGACCTAACTTGGACACAATGCCGACCGTGTGTCCCATCTTGTTACAAACAGAAAGAGCCAATGTTCGACCCCTCCCACTCCACCTCATACTCCAACATCTCCTGCGAGTCCGCTGCATGTTCTCAGCTCACAGTGGCCTGCATCGGCCGCGACTGCTCCGCCGCCACGTGCACCTACAGCGCCAAGTATTTACACAACTCTTCCTCACTAGGCTTCTTCGGCGATGACAAGCTAACAATAACACCGACGGATGCTTACGATGATTTCGATTTTGGCTGCGCGCAAAACAGCAAAGTCCAGTTCGGCGCCGCCGCCGGTTTGCTCGGGCTGGGCCGGACCAGCATCTCCTTCGTCGAACAAACCTCCCAGAAATACAAACGAGTGTTCTCCTACTGTCTACCCTCCACTTCAAGCTCCACCGGCTACCTCAAATTCTGCCCCGACGGAGGCTCCGGTTACGCAGTCAAGTTCACGCGGCTCAAAACTTTATCCCAAAGCGCTACATTTTACGCCCTTGACCTAGTTGGAATCACCGTCGGTAGCCGTCAACTGAAGATTTCAGCCTCTATCTTTTCAAAGTCGGGGACAGTCATCGACTCGGGAACGGTGATCACGCGCCTCCCGGCCACCCCGTATGCCGCATTACGCGCGGCTTTTAGAAAAGCGATGGAGAAGTACCCTTTTGCTAAGTCGAAGTCTGCCCTACTAGACACTTGCTACGACTTTAGTGGACTTAAAACGGTGTCGTACCCGAAGATAGGGTTTGTATTTGGAGGTGGGGTTACGGTAGACTTGGACGCGACAGGGGTACTGTTCCAGACTAGTGGTTCGCAGTTTTGCTTGGCGTTTGCCGGAAACAAGGACGATAGTAGCGTCGGTATTATCGGCAACGTTCAGCAGAAGAGGCTGCAAGTGGTGTACGACGTTGCTGGGGGAAAGATCGGATTTGGCCCTGCAGGTTGCCCCTGATTGATTAGCTACTTAAATCATTGCTGATGAAGATTTCTAACTGGTGGTACTGCGAAATAAGCAGCTACCGAAAAAATAAAGTTGTTAGTAATGATCTCGTTGTCTTTGTGGTTCCGGTGACGTCAAAGTGTTAATTATCTGTTATTTATCCTCCTTATGATTGTTTGTTATCCTTTTTAAGAAAGCAATATTTTAATAGATTTGAAGTTCACTGAAAGTTTTCGGACAAAAAATTAGAAACTTTGTCTTTCATTCAAACCGTTAGAACATCAAATATTTCATTCATTGCATTCAGGTCCAATACAGAACTTAGCATGAGGTTCAAAGTGATTACTTTTTTTTTTTCTTGTTCTTTAAAAATGGACCAACCAATGGTTTCACCATTGCATTCCATTATTTCGGGGTAACTATTATATTCCATTAAGTTTTCTCATCAATTCTAACTAACCCAAAAGATTCTTCAGAGATATTTTAACCTATCATTGACCATCATCGTGTTTTTTTTTCGCGTTGCCCTAATAGTATTGATTTCGTCGCAGAGGTGATGACTAATTAATTAGTATGGACTTCAATTAAGGACATCCACATGTGCAACCGGGAAATAAGCGCATGCAGCCACAAGAAAATTCATCATTATGTACGTAGTTTCCTAGCTTGGAAAACTTGATCCACGATACTTGACGGGAATTGCTTTGTCTCACTCTCTATGCATATCTTCTCCAAATCGATCTGTCTTTGTCTGCAAAGACTACACAAGTATACGTTGTTGTTGTTGAAATGATAAGACATTTCTAATTAGCATTTGACTTGCTAATTAATTACCATTTGACTTGCTAATTAATTACCATTTGAAAACTTAAGCACTCTCTGACTAGTCTTGAGTATCTAAATTCAGGATTCCATACATATGCCTGCTTTTTCCAGCTTGCATGTCCTCCACTGAAATAATATCTCCTCAGTCCGATTTATCATTGAATTTATATATATAAAATAAAGTACTATATTTATATATTTATATATATATAGAGTACAAATCCTCTCCCGATCTAAAAAGAAGGGAGCCCAAGGATCAAATGATTCGGACTATTGAAATTTGATCAAACAGCTACAAGTATTATAACTTTTAGAGAGGCCCATTGTTTGTAGCTGTTGGATCAAAATTCCAATGGCCCGAATCATTTGATCTTTGAGCTCTGTTTTTTTATATCCGAAGAGGATACGTACTCATATATATATATATATATATATATATATATATGCGCGCGCGCGCGTGTGTGAATTCAATGTTATAAGATTTACATGAATTAATAATTAAGCCCGCTTATGCATGGCGACCTTCATTATTTTTAATAGGAAAATTAAAGTCCAGAAAAATAACACCAAAGTATTCGTCTACGTCAACCGTGAGTCTCCTTATAAGGGAGTGCATCCTCATCCCAAATCTAAGAGCTAAAAACTTTTAGGGAGTAATAAGGCTTCATGGAAATTGCTCCGATGAATTTTAGCTCCTTTTTTTTCAGGTCTTTTGGTTTATATGTATTATTTCTTTGTCTAGTTCTCTGCTCTTTGGAGAAGGGTTTTGCCTTGGCAGGAAGGAAGGATAAACTTACTCATCACACAGTTCAGTTGAACTCTCTACTGCCAGCAACTACTTGCACCCCCTCCACCAAAGGTACTTACTACTTTTTTGTCTTGCTAACTCTTTCTATATGTGTAATGTATGTATGTCAATATATTAATACATGCACGAATCGTGTTCCTTAATGTTTAGTTATGATATGTTATAAAAATAATTTAGATATTAGCGTCATGCCGTTACATAGTGTTACTATTTTTCATGGCATATCAATGAAAAATTTCTATAAATATATATTATCAATCGGACTGTTAACATATTACGTGACGCGTGTTGCGCTAGAGCATCAAATAGAACAAATAAATTGAAAACTAACTCACAATTTATTAACTGATTGAGGTAACAAATGTACCAAAAAAAAAAAAGAAAAAAAAAAGAGTTTCTTACAAATTATTCGCTAATTCAGGTCACAACAAGAAACATGGATCAGTGCTAGAAGTGGTACACAAGCATGGCCCTTGCTACGAACACAACCAACACAAAACCAAAACCGCTACAGATCTTCATGCATATTACGCTCAATTCTTCAAGCAAGACCAAGCACGAGTCGATTCAATCTACTCCCGCCTAAAGGCCACCAAAAGATATTCAACCAAAACAGATGACAACCTTCCGATTACGCAATCGGAAGATACCAACACCTTCCCGGCCCCTTCTGCCACGACGGTGGGTGGTTCTGGCAACTACGTTGTGAAGGTCGGATTAGGCACGCCGGCCAAAAGTTTTTCCCTCGTATTCGATACCGGAAGCGACCTAACTTGGACTCAATGCCAGCCTTGTCGATTCGGCACCGGAAGCGACCTAACCGCCTCCTACGCCAACATCTCATGCAACACCGCAACTTGCAATGAGCTGACGTCGGCCACAAACACTGGACCCTACTGTTACCGCGCGACGAACACGTGCGTGTACCTCATTGGGTACGGAGACAAGTCCAAATCCGCCGGATATTATGGAACCGAAAGGCTCACGTTGACCGCCACTTCGACCGACGTGTTTGATGGCTTCCTCTTCGGGTGCGGCCAAAACAACGGCGGTACCTTCGTTGGCTTTGCCGGTTTGCTTGGTCTCGGCCGGAACAAGATATCCCTCATCGAACAAACAGCCGCAAAGTACGGCCGATATTTCTCCTACTGCCTTCCCGTCGACCAGAGCTCCACAGGCTTTCTCCGCCTCGGCAAAGACGGAGGAAATTCCGCCGCCGTTAAGTTCACGCCGCTCACCACCCTTCCTGTAGAAGAATCATTTTACGGGCTCGACTTGGTCGGCATCAGCGTCAGCGGACAACAGGTGTCGATTCCGTCAACGGTTTTTTCCACCGGAACTCTCATCGACTCGGGGACAGTGATAACGCGGCTGCCGGCAGCGGCGTACACCGCGATGAGAGACGCTTTTAGGGAAGGGATGAAGAGCTATGGGGAACCCAAGACAGTTGAGGGGGTACTGGACACTTGCTACGACCTTAGAGCGTATAACTTGGAGACGGTCTCGTTTCCGGCGGTTGCGTTTACGTTCAGTGGTGGGCTTACTTTGGAATTGAAATTGGCGGGGACAGTGATTGTGATAGTTGATACTTCGCAGGTTTGCTTGGCGATTCTTCCTAGCACCAAAGATGGGCAGCCGGGGATCATTGGGAATTTTCAGCAGATTGGGTTTGAAGTGGTGTACGATGTTGCAGGAGGGAAGATTGGATTCGCCGCTGGAAGTTGCTAAATTGATTATGATTAAGTAATAAATCAGGTTTAGAGTGGTCTCAAATCTGAATTAATTTAGCACTACTGAGTCATTTTGCTGAATAAATTTGGCGACATGTATCTAGCAACACAATTTGGTGACATGTTTAGGGTTTGAGTGCGCGTATAACTATATATATATATATAGCTCAAGTATAAATAATGGAAGCATTTGGCAAGATTTCCAGAACAAAATTATTTACTCCATTTGTGGTTCTCTTGCTTGGGTTCGTATGATGTCACTTTGTGGAACGGTCATTGGGAGAGCCAAGTATCAAACACTAGACCTAATGTGTAAACCCTAAATATTTGAGTTATAAAGTAATTGTACACTCAAATTTTGTATTCCCACTTATCGCTGGCAAAGGTTTCAAAATAAATGCCAAGATGACTCTCTCAAAGTGCATGAGACTTTTCTTGAACTTTCTGTCACCTCACAATTTAAAGTTAATTTTCATGCTAACATTATAAAGCATTGCGTAAAAAATGATTAAAACTTGATTTTGGTAAAAATATTTTTGGAACAATCCTTAATAAAAATGCATGAAGCACTTTAAGTATTTTTCCAAGTTTCACTTAAATAGACTTATAAATAGCTTGAAGGACGCGTTCCAATTGATTATGATCAGGAGTGAGCTGATATACCTTTAGTCTTTTTGGATTCCATTAGAAATCATTCCTACTTTTCAAAGTGTGGGACACTTCAGGCTTCACCAAAAGAAAAAAAAACTATTGAGACTAGGACCATTAAATCTATCACTTTTAAAATCTTTAAAATCTTAATTTAACTACACCCCCTAAGAAACAATCAACAAATCGAGGTGAGACTCTAATTATTGCTTATACTTGACACTATCCTCAAAGATTTATTTAACTAAAACCAGCAAATTAGCAGCCAAGAACATTGAAAGTTGCCAAAAGATTAGAAAAATAAAATTTAACAAAAAAAAAAAAAAAAACTGTTGAGACTAGGACCGTTTATTTTTTTAATAATATGGATTATGGAAAAAGAAATAAAGTAAAAGCCTATCAAAATTGGTCGGGCATTCCTAATTCTAACAACAGGATGGTGAATAATGATTCAAGAAAATAAAAGGCTCAGAAGAGTCGGGCCTCCTCTACATTATCCACATGAGGCTTCATCTAGGATGGGCAAACGGGTATAGAAACCGCAGGTCGGGGTGGGTAATTACGGTTCGGGACGAGTACGAGCCGGTTTTTAATATTTTAGAGAACAAACGGGCCGGGCCGGGTCCTTTTCATTTACTGGGGCGGGCCAAGTCTAGATACTTAGAAAAACGGGTACCCAGACCGACCCGTTTCTAATTATAATAAATGGCTGAATGATAACCTATCATCCAATCTCAACAGTTAGTTTCTACCCTAGGTTCTACACGAGTCCAAACCAAGGTTCCAGAATCACAGCTGCCTCTCTATCCCTCGCTCTCGCTCCTCTCTTTCCCCCTTGCTCCATCTCTTTCCCTCTCCTCCATCTCTCATGCGTCAGTGCCTTCAACCTTGACTGATCGTTGTTGCAGCCTCTTTGTAGTGGTTAGCTGATCTTATCTTTGATTTGTAGTGGGTTTTCTTGTTTTAGTCAATTTTGATGATTTTAGTTTCATTTTTTGAATAATATTTTGGATTTAGAATAATAATTTTAGAATAATAAATGCTTGAGGCCACCGACGTAGTTCATCTCTTTTAGCATGATTTATTTTGGTTTGCATGATTTGTCAAAGTTGTATTTATATGTGAACATATTACACATACTAGCACTCTTCTGAGTATATTTGTATTGTTGATATTCAACTGTTCACCCCCACCGCGGGAAAGATCTCGTTCCTGAGAACCAGCAGGAATATGCAGCATCATCTTTGAAGCTTAAGTTATGGAAACATGCTCAATAAATCTGTTAGTATTGGAATTCAATGCCATTGGGTTGGCTTGCTTCTGTAGTTCTGTGGTATGTCATATATTTTTGGTGAGATTTGAGATGGATCAAATTGTTCATTGGTTTTCATTGTGTTGATTGGTTGAATATGAATTAAGATTTTACATGTTAGTGCAAGTAGGAATAGAATATAATATCTTGATACTTTGAACTCTTGAATATAGAAATGTAAGCTGTTACCATTGTAATATATTGAACTCTTGATATCTTGAATATAGAAATGATAATGTGGTGGGTCTGATTCTTGATTTATAGATAGAAATGATTCTATGCTTACTGTTCTATTTAATTAATCCATTCAAGGATATAGGAATAGGCTAGGTGATCTATGTGTTCAATCTGTGCAGCTGCTGTGCAATCTGTGCAGCTACACAGAAATGATGTGCAATCTGTGCAGTTGCTGTGCAATTGTCTTGCACTCTTGAAGATGGAGTGATGTTGGACGTTTAATGTTATTGCAGATGTTAATGTGGAAGTTATTTCGGTTTTAATGTTTATGTTTTTTTTGGATTTGGAATAGCATGCAGAAGCTTGAAGCTTGAGGCAGCTATTGTAACTTTTGAAAATGTCTGTGTTGCTGCAATGTTGCTGTGCACTGTAGTGCAGTTTTATAAAAACGTATTTTTGAAAAAAAAAGAAAAAAGAAATATAGAGTTGGACTCGTGGACCCGTCTCGGACCGGCCCATTTGAAACAGTCCAATTTAGGTCCGATTCCAAAAATCAAAATCTCTCTACCCGGCCTGGCCCGTGCCTACCCCTAGCTTCATCGACAGAGCTCTTTTCTTTATTTTTTACTTTTTAAATTTAAATACTATATTCTACTCGAAACTAATTTAAATTAAAAAGAGTGTAATTTGACCTCGAACTCGAACAGACCGTATGTCCCATTGGATTTTATCAACCAAAAACAAGGCAAAATGGTTACAATACAAGAGTAAGAAAATCGAAAAAAATGGACGACGCAAAGTATTATTTGTTCTTTATAGGTAGAAACTTTATGTCGATAATAAAAACAAGGGGCTTTTGGATCTAGGTCCAAAAACATAGGTAATTTTTGGGACTGAGTCCAGTTATCCAATTACATATTTTGATATCAATTTTGCCCCTTCAGATAAAAATATTTAAATTATTTAATTTTTTTTTATCATTTATTCAGTTTTTAAATTTTGAATATTTAAATACCCAACTAAAATATTATCTAGTAACTGCCTACTGTTTATGAAGAAAACAAAACCGATATAATCTAGTAACTACCTACCTATTGTATAGGAAGAAAAATGCTTTATACCTACAAAGCAAATATAATCTACCTGCAAAATAAAAATAAACTACCTATTGTATAGGAAGAAAAATGTTAGGAACCTACATGGCGGAACATAGAAATATAAATATGATATAATATACCTCCATTAAAGGAACGAATTTGGAGGGAAGAACACAAAAATATCACCCATGAAAAGAAGAGACAAAAAAGAGGAGGATTGATAGAGGGAATTGTTTGGAAGAAGGAAAAAAGGTGGGATGAAACGAACTAGGGTTGAGGTGATTATATGGCTATAACTAATCCTACAATTAAGGGATTAGTTAAACGACAAATAATCCCATAATTAAGAAATTTTGTGTATTTATAACAATTCGTAAGTCTAAGGGGTAAATATGGTACAAACCACAAATAAGTATATGTGGAATCTTAATTATTGGACCTATTTCAATGAAGTGGACTAATTCTACTAATGGCTCACAAAATTGGATCTATATCAAGTTATCCCTAAAAACAAAGATGGTGACATGAGATTCGGAAATTTGAGCCCACAATTGCTTTCAGTAGTGGACAAGGATTGTCTGCCCTCTACTTTCGGTGCCCTCCCCGTGCCCTTCTGTTTGTGTGGTCACGGTTAAGCCACGTCAATATTTTATATTACTATTCATTTTTGTCTTATTATCTCTATAAAAAAAACAATATAAAATGTTGACGTGGCTTAACCATGACCACACAAAACAGGAGGGCAAGGGGAGGGCACCGAAAGTGAAGGGCAGACAATCCCTGTCCTTCAGCGGTGGGAAACGGACAACTTTTTAGGCCTCCCCTCCCTTGAAGAAGAGAAATCGAGGAATCTTGTTCGGGTGTTATGTTTATGTGATAGGTATATGTTGACCCTAAAAATTACAAAGCCTACGTGGCACGCAGGCCGAGTAACTAATAAGCTAACTACGTTCTTCGATTGAATGCGAGGCGTGCCAACTCGTCGGCCGAGCTCGGCCGGGGAGTAAAATTTGTTGATGTTGCATTGAGTGCGCTGCTGACTTCTTGATCTTGCGATTGCGGCTGAGGAAGGAACAAATCTCGGCCTTTGGATTCTCGAGCATGAGGACAAGGCTGCTAGTTCTGCGAAGTTCAATATCAAATTCGGCTCTCAAGGTGTCGAATGTAGTAACCTGGTAACACCTCACTTCGCCGAGAAGGCTAATGAGATGACATCTGCCAATAAGGATTCGAAAATCCTTCTTGACCGAGACTTGGATAGATAACCAGTCGGCCTCAACGCAATGCTGTTTATCCAAACTGAAGGTGCTTTGCGGTCGGCTGATTCTACGGCAACAGTGCTGTTTATCCAAACTGAAGGTGTTCGCCGGTTGCCTTCACAGTGCTGTTTATCCAAACTGAATATGTGTCGGCGGGAAAAAGAAAATAAAAAATCTCAGGATGATTGAGAGGTTTTGCACAGGGTAGTTGTGTGTTGAATTAGAGGTCCTCTTTTAGTTGTCTGCCGCTTAGTATTTATAGAGATTTGCAAGCCTAAGTCGCGAAAACCAATCCTAATTGTATTGTGACTCTAAGTCTTTATTGCTCACGTCTTATCAAAATTTGCTGTCATCTTGCAACCTGATGCAATATTGCTTTGACTAATAACCTTTATCCATCATTATCATAACCTTTATCCATCAGCAAAACCTTCTGCCGAAGACCACATGCATGCATGACTCCTTCACCAATTCCTAGATAAGACCATGTACACCAATCTCAACCATGAATTCCAAGTCAATTTGTACTGCACCACCCACTTCTATATCAGAAATAAGACTTAGGTTTTGGTCATAATTAGCCACGTAAGAGACTGCATACACTTAAAGTCTGATATAATGAGCCAATTTGAATGTCTCTGCGCAATCCTTTGAAGATATATCAGATCATTTTTTTCAAAACAACCAACTGGATATATCAAAAATTAGGTTTTAACTATCCTAGTTAATATT